GATAATAATAAATATTAATAATAAATAATAAATAAAAATTTAAAGCAGAAAAGGTTTAATTAGTAATAAAGTTAAGACCAAAGCAGACTTGAGCACATTGGGGTGGGTTGTACCTGGGATGGCTGGGTACCCCACAAAGTGGCATATGTAGGCCATCTAGAGCATCTCTGATTGCGGTGGCTAAGCCTTCAAGCTCAGGCTATACAATAATAGCTCCCGAATTCAAGAACTTACAGAGGGAGCCATATGCCATATTCACAGTTAATGACATATGAACTAGCTATAAAAAATTCTCTCTCTCACCGACCCCTAAAACCAAACTGGTTCCAGGATTATAATACTGGGGTTTGGTTTGGTTTTGGGTGTGTATGCATGTGTTGGTTTTTGGGTATTGTTTTGTTTTTGTTTTATAAGACAGGGTCTTACTGTGTAACCCTGGCTGTTCTGGAACTTGTTCTGTAAACCAGGCTGTGCCACTACCACCCGGCTTATACACACACACACACACACACACACACACTCACTACAGGAAAGTCATGGGTTGGAGAGATGGCTCAGTAGTTAAGAGCACTGGTTGTTCTTCCCGGGTTCAATTCCCAGCAACCACATGGCAGCTCACAACTGTCTATAACTTCTGTTCCAGGAGATATGACAAGCAGGCAAAACACCAATGTGCATAAGGCACAAATAAGTAAATTATTTAAGTCATATCCAACAGCGACTTGGAGTCACTCTGGCAACCTGCTGTGCCTTTAGAGAGGGGAGAGCTGCCCCTGCCCCTCAGCATCCTGCCCCCACGATTCACTTTTAGAGAGGGGATGGTTAGGCTCTGCTCCCCCTTGGTGCCCCCTCCTTTTCACCTTTAGAGAGGGGATGGTTTGACTCTGTCTGCCCCTCAACCCCCGCCACCTCCACTTTTGAGATAAGCAGCCATGAGCCCTTTGTTATCCCTTCATACTGTGTCTATCCTGCGTCCCCTTCTCTCTTTGGAAGGAGCCAGCAGCCCCCCAAGCCCTTCTACCTGTTGTATACGTCCTTGCTGAGGCCCAGTGCTGACACCTTCACCTGCCTCTGGGCGCTGACCAGACAGTTGCGAGCAGCTAAGTCCTTGTGCACAAACCGGTTGTTGGACAGGTGCTCCATACCCAAGGCAACCTGGGCACACAGGGCCACCTGGTGAGAGAGCGAGCAGCCTGTCAGAACAGCTCAGGACCAGGGATTAAGGGAACCACCACGGCAAATCCTTGTCTACTTCTCCCAGTACGCCTGGAGGGCTGTTTAGGAAACCCCACACAACAGCCTCAGCTGCCTTCTCCAGAAAATGGGATCTATTACCTGCTCCACGAGGTTGTTCAAAGGTTTATTACACTAAGGGGCTGAGGAAATGGCTTGGTGGGTAGTGCCTGCTGGGCAAGCGCAAGGACCTGAGCGTGGATCTCCCTGGCTAGCGCTCCAGGTTTGGTGATAGAGTCTGTCTCAAAAAAATCAGGCTTGATGGATCAGGCCTTAGTTCCAGTGCTCAGGAGGGAGAGGCCGAACAACGCATCAACTCCCCTGGAACTGGAGCTACAGGCAGCACTGATGTCGCTCAGTGTCGTCAGTGCTGAGAGCCAGACTCAGGTCCTCCAGAAGAGGAGCAAGCAGCTGAGCCTCTCTCCAGCTCTGCATCGACACTTCAAAAGTACACGGCTAATGGACAAACAAACACTAGCCAAGCACTAAATTTTATATACAACAGGTCCTAGTAAAATATACCAAGACTAGCCAAGACGGGATTTAGGCAAAAAGACAGACTCCAAGAGACCTAAAGACTGCTCCCGGAGAAGGGGAAAAAGCTAGAGATGGCTCAGCAGGCAAAGGCACTTGCCACCAAGCCCGATGACCTGAGCTTTTGAAAGGAAAGAACCAACTTTTTCAAGCTGTCCTCTGAACTCCGCATGCAGGTGTGCATGCAGATGCAGACACGCAGAGAAACACCAATTATAAATGTTTTTGAGAAGAAGACTCAAGGCTAGAGAAATGAAATGGCCCAGTAGTTCAGAGCACTGGCTGCTCTTGCAGAGGATCTGGGTTCAGTTCCCAGCACAAACCAAGTAGCTCAAAACTATCTACAACTCCAGTTTCAGGGGACCCGATACCTTCTTCTGGCCTCCACATGCACATATAAATACATGCAAAAATACCCATGCACATGAAGATAGATAAAATTTAAAAGAAGAAGATGTATGCTCCTATCACCTCGTCATCCCATCTAAATAGTGAAAGGAAACACTAGGAGACACAGGGGCCCTGTAGCGGCTGTGGGGTGGGTGGCTCAGCAGGGCGCCTGTCTAGTGTTCACGAGGTTCAGTCTCAAGTCCTTCACCATTAAGGTGCTTCTGAAGGCAGAGAGGTCCCCAGAGCCATGGGACATGTGCAGCTATAGTCACATGAGCATACAATAATAACAACAACAAACTTTTGAAAGTGGCAACTAAATATACATGAGTAACAGAAAAGTGGAGAGGTCCCTTTGACCTGTGGAAATTACAGGACATGTGACCAGCTATTAGCTGTGTCTTCCCTGGCACAAAGATTCACTGAGGACCCCCAAGGGGAGTCATCAACCACAATACAACGGAGGAATTCCACGGAGGAATGAAAATGAGATGGTGGACTAGTGAGGTGACTCAGTGGTTAAGGCAAACCTGAGGACCTCGAACCCCCATAAAAATGAGAGGGCCGGGCATGGTGGTGCCTGCCTTTAATCCTAGCACTCGGGAGGCCAAGGCAAGCAGATCTCTATGAGTTCATGGCCAGCCTGGACTACAGAGAGAGTTCTAGGTTGTTACACAGAGAAACCCTGTCTAAAACCAAAAAAAGAGGGAAAAAAAGGTGGCGGGAGAAACCCAACTCCACAAAACTGTCCTCTGACCTCCACACACACACAAATAATAGCAAATGTTTTTTGTTGTTGTTGTTGTTGTTGTTGTTTCTCAGACTGGCCTGAGATTCACAATGCAGTCTGTATTATCCTCAAAGTCTCACGATGTCTGTGCCATAGTCTCTTGGATGTTAAGATTACAGACTGGAGCCACCAAGCCTGGCTATACCTGCATTTTCTCATTAAGATTTATTCCCTCTTTAACGGTATGTGTGTGCCTGTCTGTGTGGGTCTGTACATCTGAGTGCCGGGGCCCGGTGATGTGGGAAGGTCATCTGTCTATCTGTTGCTTTCATTGGTTAATTAATAAAGAAACTGCTTGGCCTGATAGGTCAGAACATAGGTGGGTAGAGTAGACAGAACAGAATGCTGGGAAGAAGGAAAGTGAGCCAGA